GGTAGACAGTAGTGGAAATGGTCCAATGGAGGGAGGCAGATGGCGGCTGAAACTAAATGGCAGCACTTCACCGCCGCTGAGCCGCTCCAATCGCCGGCCAATATCAAGACTGAAGAGGTGGATTACCGGGTCAGGGAAGGGAAATTAGTCAGCCAGAAGAAATTCCTTTCCAAATTTCAATTGCCGGCAAGTTAAACTGTTGAAGAAGGGATGAAATCAGCAAGGGACGGCACCGACTGTAGAGTCCAGATTCTCCAGACGAATGGTTTCCGGTCTTTCATTCCACATAGAAGAACGGCTGAAGATGTTTGGGAGCGAGGGCTTTGAACAGGAATTTTGGTTTTGTCAATGGAATTCAACTTCGAATGGTTTCCCGTTTTTCATTCCAGAACGGCTGAAGATGTTTGGGAGCGAGGGTTTTATAGGAATTTTGGTTTTGTCAATGGAATTCAACTTCTTTAATTATTAATTAATTAAATTTTGATCTATCAGTGGGGAAATTAATGAGTTGTGTGAATTGACTAAATAATCCTTGATTATGGAATTGATTACTAGGTGATTAATTAGTTTGTGTTTGTTGGATAAAAATTTTTGAGAGGAGATTCTTTAATTTTATTTATTTATTTATTTATTATTACTATTATTATTATCATTATTTTTGTGTTGTTAAAGAGTAAAATTATGAAAAATAATTTTTTTTTTTTTTTAATGAGCGAGGGAAAGAAGTGGTTATCAAATAATCAAAATCAAACAAAGAATTAATTTTGATTGATAATCATGACAAATGAACATTAAATATACAAAATAGGGATTTTGAGTCAATTTTTTGTCCATTCATTTATATAGATTTAATATAGATTTAGTTTATTAAATGAGAACATAAGTGCTTCAGAGAATTCCATGTTTAAAATATGGATTTAGGCATTCTTGTTGCCTATAACAATTACAACCATATCTGATAAAGTGAGATCTTGTGCTATCCTATATACCTACTAATTACGTGAAATGACTAAATCTACGTTTGTCGCCTTGCCTGCATCCACCAACCTTATCCCTCTCTTAATGTTTGTTACCAACTAATAGGTCACACGCGGCCAGTATATTGAATTAAATCTAATAATGAGATCAACTTTAACCTTTTCTGGCATTTTTTACCAACCACTACGTCATTTCACACCCACATTATTACCACTACATTTAATCTAAAGCTCGAGCAAATATATATTCTTTTATTTGTTTCATATGTACACCTTGCAAATACATTAATATGTGTGAAACCATAGTAAAGCCAATTTGGTGTGAATTTTTTAAAAATGGTTTTTATGAAAAGTAACTTTTTGGTGAATGTATAGTTAAAAAGTAGAAAAAAATCATGATTCCATACGTAAAATTATTTTATTGAGAATGTAATTGGAAATGAGTTTGAGAACAAATGGATTTTAAATATCGCAAGGACATAATGTTAGCTTGAGTGGGAGAGAAGTGCTATACTAAACCAAAGGATACATCGAAATTCATGTTGCATTCTAATTTTTCAAAATATGAATAAGTTGATGGAAAATCCTTTTGCCGGTGCAAAAAAGAAAAACACGATTCATAATTTAATAAAAAATGTGAAATGGCATTCGAAAAGTCTAAATTGTCCTTCTCATAGAAATCTCCATTTTCTTGGGTGTGTGGCCCAAATATTATTCAAGATGGAGGTAGGTTACTATCGTGCACTTGTCACCATAAAGATTTTAGGTACTATAGTGATGGGTACACGTAGTTCATTGCTCATACGTAACTTAATTTCTATAAAAGATGTTAGTACACTTCAAAACTTAATCTGCAATTGCAAATAATATCCATTCTCTACGTGCAACAAAATGCACTCACCACTCAATCTTAGTTTTCTTCGTCATGCACTTTCACTGATCATGTATAACACCACAGGTCAAAATTGTGGCAAGAGTTCACTATTACACTACATGATGTTCTTAGAACATTATATTGCTCTCCATGAACAGAAATTGAAAAAAGACCGGGATTTATAAATGTGCATCTTATTTTGAAGACGTCTCCCATTTCCTTAACAAAATCAGGCAGTTGGAGCTTCGTTTACAAATAAGATTGCATCATTATGGATTCCGAATACTGAGATTCATAATGTTTGTTTAGTTTTTTTGCTTAGCTAAATCTAATCTCCGAATTTGTGGCAGGCAATATATCCTTGGAGTGAGTATCCGATAAAATCGTTGAAATATTATTGTAATGTCCTCTTCATTAAGAGAAATTTAATTACGAAAATTTGATTATTGTCATATTACACGCTTAATAGCATTTCACACTAGTTTGGATGTAGGAAAAACAAATCAAACATTCGAAGTACCAAGTAACATAAAAACTTCATCAGTCTCTTGAGATGAGTGGATTTTGACCAAAACCACAAATTTAAATTAGCAATGCTATGGAGCTAGTCACTCAAAAAGTCAATGGCATTGTATACTTAACAAATGGAGTAGTTCAAAACTAACAGAATATTTTGACACAACTGAAGTCTCGATAAGATTTATAGTTCATTAACTTAGTAAAGTCTATCTTAATCTCTGAACTTAAGACACCAATTGTTGAAGTGCCAACCCCACAAACTCGATGCAAATGGTACTGTTAGACAGGTTAATTGGTATCCTCAATTTTTTGAAGGATATTCGTTAGTAAAATGTGGTACATTGCTACATTCAACATTTTGTCGATACCTTTTTAGTCTCACAAATGAGAATGGGAATTTACATTCGAAAAAAATCGAAAATCTTAAGCCCCCCTCAAGATTAAGTACCATTGTGAAGAAACTAGAAAGTAAATGATAGATATCTTAGTAGATATCCAATAAAGAGGTCATGTTAATGTGGAATCAAAATCAAAATATAAATAGTACATTTCAATCATGTATATAAAAACACCATAGCTCCTTTTCGTGATAATCATTGTCGTAGGAAAAGGTGGGGAAATTGGATCATCATAATCATATTCAGGTGGGTAGGGAACAACTTCAATTCTTTCACGTCCATATATATGCTTAACCTACATTTTTTACGTCACCTTGCACAAATTATTTCTTAGCATTGGGATAGTAGTCTTTATTATGCAAATGATGGACAAGATAGTTGTAATGACTTATAATCACTTGTCTCTTTCGCTTAGGACAAGAAGGGAAAGGAAAGAATGGACAATATTAATAGGACCATTGATATAGCTCCTCTCAGTGCCCCGTGACAGGAGCTTATAAAAATTTTATGTTGATCAATAGTCACTCTAACGAACTTAAAATGCAGGTTTTGCCTACATGTGCAACTATTTCTCAAAAGAAAATGAGATCTAAGTAGTCTAGCTCGTTTGGATGGAATTCCCTAACAACATTCCATGCCATATCAGTAGGAAAGTCGTAGGAAAGTCTCCTTACAGACCAGAGTAGCTAGTCTATCTACTCATGACCCTAAAACGCCAGGCTAGCAAAATGAGCCTTATTGATCGCTAAACGAAATACTAAACTTGTGTCCTGGCCCTGGCGAAGAGTAAGCAATTATGTTTTCCATACGCTTGGTTGGCTGTAGATCTTTAATTTTAAACGTGGTATGATATTGTAAAACAAGAAGAATATTGTTGCCTTTTGCTCTGAATTTTGGTTATTGATTGATATGTTCTGTTGAAACTTATCTCCTGTTGAATTTTTCTGTCATGTAATTGGGTGGAATTTTGTAAATAAATGTCTTTCTCTCTGCCATCAGAAGTTATTTACACCCTCAATTGGGAATTATCATTGCACAATGCAGATGATATTTCGATGGTTTTAATTTAAGCACAAGTTTTATTTTGAAACCATTGCCTTGCTATTAAAGTCACTAACTTGCTTATTTCCAGCTTAACCGATAAAATATTATTTACTTTAAACCTATTTGCTTGTAAATGAACTTTATAAACTTTAGCCATAGAAGCTCTATTTTTACTGAAGAACAGGTCTATACTTCAATCCTGGAGAATGTCCCTTTTTCCTACCTTGGAAGAATGAGCTGGAATTGTGTTTCTTTATTAACTTCTAATTAGCCAATAATATCCAAAACTCCTCGAGCAATGATTTTTATATGCAACTGCTGTGCTTTGCTTGATGCTTCTAATGACTTTGCTTGGGAAATTGATTCTGATACAACTTGGAATGCATCTTAAATTCATTTCTGCAGCTTGGAACTTCAGAAAAGATCAAAGGAGGCTGCTCACAGGATTGCAATGGAAGAAGATGCTGTGCTTAGGAGGTCAACTCGCTTTCGTGCCCCACATAGGGAAAATCCTGCATTTGCCTACCTTAAGTATGTAAACAAGTGGAAAGAACTCTAAATGTCATCTTCCCAGCTAGATTTAATGGGCGTAGTACACAGAGAACTATTTACCGGCTGAAAGGAGAGAGCAGGTTAATAGATGGTTTCTTTACAGTTGAGATGATCGCTTCGTTAAGTGGGTTCAGGAGTAGCGAATTCTTATTATCCTCTGATGAAGGGTTTACCCATTTTTGATGTGACTGAAATTTTGGATGCAAAAGGTCATCATTGCATGGGATTTTTCATATTGAGGCCCACCTGATGGCACAATATGCAATACTCTCGATCCTTGTAAATGACATTCATTAATTAGTTCAGGTTTTGGAAAAAGATCATTTATCATATTTTTTAGCATTGCTCCGTATGTTGCAAAGAGAAAAACTAACGTACACGAGGGAAATGGGTTGGGATGGGCCAATGCTCGAGTTTCCAACTGACTTGTGCGATTGCACCCTTTAGTCGCTTTTAAAATTGCAAAAACGAAGAACAGAGAAATTAACACGAAATAATGTTTAAACACAATTTAGAGAGTCTTCATTTTGGTATAAGAAAATGTTCTTTTCAGTCAAGTGAGATTATTTTAGACACATTCTCACCAAATGTTCTAAGAAAATCGAACACTAGATCACCGGAGGTTTGAAAGGACAAATTATCTCCAACATACAAATTACATGATCTCAACTACAGCACGACCAACAATACGTCCACGATCAAGGTCCTTGTATACTTGTCCTGCCTCCTCGAATTTTCGTTTTTCTGAAACAGCTACATCAAGATTAAAAATGCCACTTTCTGCCAATTTGATTAACTTTGGAAGGTCTTGTCTTGCCCTTCCTCCATAAGAGCCAATCACTTTAATCTGCACCATCAGTATCAAAAGAATTCAGGGGTGAAAGAAAGTCAGCTGCTTTATGTTGAAGATCATTTGGACCACAGTACACCCCTATTCAATATTTAGCAAGAAAGACAGTAAATTAAATGGAAGAAGGACAATACATATCTGTCTACGAACCAAATGGTTTATATCTACCTCTCTTTTAGCACCAGAGAGTGTAAGGCCAATCATTACAGCTTTTCCTCCATCTCGGACACTATTTACACACTGTGAAAAAGTCTGCACTCTTCCAAGGGCTTCAACAGCAATGTCTACACCCCTTCCCCCAGTTATGCCGTGGTTAAATACAAGAGTCAGGGAGAAATTTTGAAAAGCACATTTTACTGTTCTAGATTTGCCACGCATGGCTCCAAGTTGGCTCAAAATCTATTTAAGTAGGTCAATATTCCAGCAGATTACACCAGAATATTCCTTCTAACTCAAAATCTATCTATTGCGAGGCTACAAGACTTGATTTCTCAACACCGAAATCAGATCGGGATTCACAATCAAGAAATTTGAAGGGGACTCCTTGTTCTCAGTAGATCCCGTGCATCACTTAGATTTCCAGTCTGCGCAATCCTTTCAGCCTCTGATAGAGACTGCTTATCTGAGTTTATATTTACCGTAATTTCATTCCCTCATTTTCTGGCTTCTCTCGTAAATATTTGGAGGATAATTGTTACGACAACTCTGCTGGTTGTATTAATATGCCCTCCATGTTATATATTCTGGGATTTCACTATTTTGTAGAGTCTCAGACCAATCTGTGTAACCAAAAATGTTGTGGTATTATGAATGGAATGTCACTTGCAGTGTACTGCTTTAATTGTCTTTCAATTTTTCATTATACTAAAACACAGAAAAAAGGTATGATGGAGAGACAATTGAATGAAACAATAAAATGTAGATGCAATATCTGCACGAATAGTTTTTAATAAAAGTTTTTTTTTTTATTATTATTTTTTTAATTTTACTGGCACTATTTATTGATAGACATTGTAACTTGGATATATTTGTTACATCAATCCTTTCTGATAAAGACCAACATATGATGTGGTCCTCTTCGTAAAAACTATAGGAACTAATTTCATTCACAGGATATTCTTATTTTTTTGAGTAATTAATGCTGTTATCTACTGTTAGAATATTTTTCGAGGAGGAATTTATCTTTGAGCTACTTTTCTTTCACTCTGGAGAGAACCAATAGGATTCCAAATTTCTGGCATTAACATGATCCACTCCATAGTCTGTCCCTTCAACAGATATTTGCTTCCACCACAATATATTGTAATTTTTAAAAAATACTACAGGCAACTGACATTCGTACGTTTTGCAAGCACTTTGGTCATTTGATTAATGGTTCCTATGAAATGAAATGTATTTAAGTAAATGTGCCCATACTTTTATTAATTTTCTACATAAATGTCCAATCTATCTTAATACAATTTTCAAATTGCTTTAAATCGGGAATTATTCACAATTTGATTAATCTCTCTTTTTACAAGCATTTGGTTCGGCAGCAAATGTTCGACCTCCTAGAAGTATGACAGGACACGAGAGAAACTCAATCCATAAACTGGATAGAGGTGCTAAATTCAATCATTGAACCATAGTAGATGTTATTTATCACTCTCACCAAAATAGTGATAGTGATGAGGATGACGACAATAGTGGTACATCTTTGACTAGCGCCTATGTCTTCAAGCTAGAATTGTTTTTAGTTGCTCTGGGGCTCTCATAGGTTCAAATAAAGTAGTTCGAGAGCAACATTAGCAAGTAAAGTCACCTTCTTCAAAAGAAGGTTCCTTAGCCACTGTTGGAGTATATTAACACTCTCGATTGATCATCTTCGATTTGTTTTGTTCCTATTACAGTTAGCAAACATTTCTTGAGTATATTAATGCCCTTGATTAATCATATTTAAATTGATTTGTTCCTTTTATGATTAATTTTCTCATTGGAAGATAAACTATTTTAGTAAAATTTAAAGTTTTGTAGACAATCATGGTTTCTTCGTATGTTTTAGAATGGATGTGCATCCTTGTTCAATATGATGGGATTTTTAATTGAGACCTAATGTTATAGGGCCGGGAAATTCAACACTTCTTCACGTTGTTGCTGGTAGGGATGGATAAGAGGATATACTAAATACACTAACGAATGATCCTAGAAAGGTAATATAGTCTCTCTTTCCTTCAGTTTCAATGTTCACAGGGAACTATAGAAATTTGTTCTTTCACACATGCATTTTCCTAGAAAACTATTCATTATCATACTGGGCTTATGTTGTGTTTGCTTGGCCTTTACAGAATTCTTATTTCGTGGAGTTAATATTAGCATAGTGAATTTGGACACTCACAGCTTAACTGGTCAAATTGGAGCTCAAGTGCAGATTGTGGCAGATAGGGGTGGGCGTGGGTCGGTTCGGTTTGGTTCTCTTTAGAATCGAACCGAACCAAAATTTTCGGGTATCTAGTAAATGGAACCGTCGGGTCCAAATATAATTATGGAACTGTTCGGGTTTGGTTCCGTTCGATTCTGTACTATAATTAATTTTTTTAATATTTATAACAACATTATATAAATACAACTAATGATACATTCAATGATTTTGGAATGTTAGATACTAGTAAACTATCTTGTTCAAATGATCGCTACGGTCAAAGTTTCGGTCGACGGAGGTCACAACTTCGATCGGAGGTCACAGTGTCGACCGACGATTATATTGATTTTGGAATATTAGCGAGGCTGCGAGAGTGAGTACGAGAGTCGAGACAACGTTATGCACTTTAGTGTAAGTGTTTAGGGTTATTTAGTAGATTGGATCTTGTTGGGCTAAGAAATGAAACAATAACATGGGTAATTGGGTCAAAAATTAAAAAATTAGAAATGAAATAAATTATTGGGTCAAAAATTTGGATTTAGAAATTGTTAATTTATTTAGTAAAAATTAAAATTAAAATAATTTGATTTACTCAATATAAAAAAAAATTAGAAAGATTCGGTTCTTATTCGGTTCTTGGTTTAGAACCGAGAATCGAACCGTACCCGTCGGTTCTCAATTCAGATACCCGTTCGGGTATTTAATTTGACAAAAACCGTCGGGTTCGGTTCGATTCGATTTCGGTTCGATTCGATCGATTCGATTCGGGAGATTTGCCCAGTCCTAGTGCAGATGATATCTTGATCATCAATCTTAAGGTATATAGCTTTCTGAATGCATAATCTCTGCCACTCTTGAAATTTTGTTTATTGCCCTGTACACCATATGCTATTTTCCAACTTCTCATTCAATTGATTGAAGAGCCGGGACACTATGAATCATTTTGCTGCTATGATGAGTTTACTGTTCATTTGTGCACCCTTGTTTTCAATCTGGTGCTCCATCTTCTTCGCACATCTTCACTTTCCCTTTGTCATCTTCTCTATTTTGATTAATTTCCAAAAACAAAATCACAACCTCAAAATCAGTTTCTCATTCTTCTTCAGCTGGTGGGTTGCAGGTACTTCTATTCTACAACTTTTTTCTATTCTCAATCAAAATTCAAAATTTTAATTTTAGCAAATCGCTCAATTTATTTCTGTAATTTATGTTTCTTGCTTTTAGTATTTACTATTATTTATACAATCTCTATTTAATCGATAATTATTTTGTACTGGTAAAATGGTCTCCATTTTGGGTTCCTTTTACCATCCACTCTCTGCCCTTGAAACACCACACACATTTTAAAACTTGCTCTTATAATAGATTTGGGTTATGCCCAGTTTAATTTTCTGCTTTCTTTGTGGTAATCAATGGAATCTTGAGAAGATATTGAAGAAGGAAAGAGACCCAGTTTCCAATTCTTAATCTAATTTCTCGTACTATGTTTTCATTTTGTTGCGTTTCTGTGTGCACACTTTTTCTCTTTTTTTTTTTTAAAGGATTTAAAATATGAAAAATTCTTCTAAATATTTTTTATCCGATCTTCCACATAAATTGTTTGTTTCCGTCGAATGCTTTATGATAAATGTATGAAATCGGGGAAATTAGCACAAGTCAAGAATAATGCCATGAAATGATTCTTATATTTGCCATATTTGGTAAAATTAGACCTTTAGAAAATGGTAAGATTTTTCTCCTGGGCACTCAACACGTTAACGTTGCTTTAAAAAAAAATTCTTTTATTTGTTTCACGTCTCTAAGCGTCTTTTTCATTATATAGCTAATTTTGCTTTAATAGCATTAATACCTAAACTATGATGTATGGAAAATTAACTTTTGTAGTTTCATAAGTATGTATTAGTAAATAGATCTACTAATTATTATGTGACAGACACCTCGTTGCTCAATTACTTACTATTTGATTTTCTTTTTGTATATTAATCTCCATTCTTCTTCTTTTTTTTATTAAATTGACTTTATTATCCTGTTTTGTTTTTAAATTCGAGATTATAGGTCCGACTGAAACCTCATTATTACTCAACCTGTGGCAGAAAACTTCTATCCAGTAATTGTCCTAACTTCAACTTCTTAGCTATGTTTTACATATTTTACTTGTAGAAAAATAAATATTCAAGTAAAGTAAATAAAATTTTTACCCAGCTGGACTACTTGTCAAAATAATAAAACTCATATCTTTTTATGAAATATTTGAACTTCACACTATAGGACTGAACTTGCCCTTTAGAAAAGATTGTCGAACTATATTTTAGGTAGGATCTCAAATACCTAAATACTGATTACGATTCGAGTAGATAAGATTTAAGCAAGATTTAACATTTGTTCTAAAAAATTTATTTCAATCCCTTTTGGATATAAAGTCTAGATTTTTCCAATTTATGAATATTATAACAATTCAAAAGAATAAAAATTCACCAAAATTAACATGATGCATCTTCTGAGATCAACTAATAGGCCTAATGTGAAAAATTTTATTTGTCTATCAATATTAGAAAATCTTCTTATTTAAGTAACTAATTTTTTACTTAACATGATCCTCAGCCAAATTGCGCCATTTTCTTTGTCAGCATAATTAACTCAATTATTGGAAAGCTTTTGACAAAGGTAGATATCATAATTTTAATTCGTCAACATTGTATATATTGATTAATGACCATTTTGTATAAAAATGAAAATAATGAACTCAATCAAAAATTTCATTTTTCTGTATTTTATGCATTTCTATCGTTGATAACTATAATTACTCATCATTATTGACTTATTCCAATTTCATAAATTCTTCTATAACATTTTCTTCAAATATATTGCATAATTATTAAAGTTCACAAATTTTATTTATTTAAACTGTAGATAATTATAGTGCAAATTGTGTCTTTTCCATCTATATATTGTACTATTAATAGTTTCAAATATGGAACTGTGATAAAGTTTTATAAAATTGTAGCTAGCTATCATTTCCACCACAATACATGTGTAGTTTCAGATGAAGGACGAAAAATAATGCTTCAAGTGGTATAAATATAATCTTAAATTTATTTTTAATAATAAAGTTGTAGTATGTAAGAGATCATTCATCGTAATAAAAAGTTTTTACCAGCTTCAATTTTTAAGTTTATATATAAAAATTATGTTAGATTTGTATATAAATAAATTTTTTGATTAATGAATAGTTTTTTTAAATAATTTTTGCAGATATCGTTAGAATATATATTATCTCCAAATCAATGGTTCTCTACTACAATTACTCAATTTGCAAATCATGAATATCTTAAAGAGTTTGTAGAACTTATAGATGCAAACGATTAAGCTTCTTTATTGTGCAGTCCGTTCCATGAATTTATTTATGGAAGTTTGTATAAAGAACAAAATAAAAAATTTAGTAGCAAATTAATACATGAGTTTATAATGAGACTTATCAACTGCGGCGAAAATAATGAAATTTGGGTACAAGTGGACGATTATGTGGCCCGTTTTGGTATGCAAGAATTTTGTTTAATCATTGGATTATCACGTCATGAAGTTACTGTGAATCTTGATTTTAGTAATACTCGACTTAGGGATGAATACTTCAATGATACAAAAAGAATTACTATGGTAAGACTTTCTGAAGTATTCCACATGTGTCAAGATCGAGAAGACAAATTTAAGTTGGGATTAGTTATGTTTGTAGAATGCGTTTTAAAACCAAATGGAAGGCACATCGATTTCAAAACTCTTGGAATGATTGATCAACTTGATGAGTTCTTTACGTATCCATGGGGACGTAAGGCATACTTTGTTTTATTAAATTCATTGCAAGAATCGTAGCTCGAAAGAGTACGAAGAATACAACAAAATGACCAAACAGACTGTAAATATTCGTTGCATGGTTATCCACTTGCATTCCAGGTATTTTTCTTTTATTTTTTTTCCTATTACATATAATTTAATCATATAAATTCTTACTATTGTAGTTACAATTGTGCAACATCATAACACTTTTTTGGTAAAAAAACAATGTAGGGATTCCTCTCATACAGGAATGAAGTTTGTTATGGAGATTCTTAATGGAAATGATAAGCGATGTCAAGAGATGTTTCGAATGGAAAAACATGTATTTTGCAAATTATGTGACAGATAAAGAAGTTATGGGTTTATGTTCAAGTAAAGGAGTACAATTAGAAGAGGCAGTATGTATTTTTTTGATGACATTGGGATATGGTGTTGGTAATAGGATGATTCAAGAAAGGTTTCAACGTTCAGGTGAAATAGTGAGTAGACAATTTGGGATTGTACTAGAAAAAATGATTGATCTCGCTTTACAAGAAATTAGACCACTTGATAATTATGATGAAGTTCCGCTCTATATTAGATCAAATTCTAAGTATTGGCCTTATTTTAAGGTAATCTACATATTAAATGTTGAAATATCATATTTCATTTGAAAACATTATTCTAATTATTTTTGTTTTATTTCTTTTGATAGGATTGTATTGGAGCAATTGATGGAACACATGTTCGCGCATCACTTCCAACGAATGAGCAAATCCCCTACATTGGTAGAAAGGGATATCCTACCCAAAACATTATGGTCGTGTGTACTTTTGACATGCTATTCACCTTTGTGTGGCCAGGGTGGGAAGGAACAGCGCATGATACACGTATATTTTTGGAGGCTCTACAAAGCATTGATCTAAAATTTCCTAAACCATTGGATGGTTTGTGACTTTTATTTATAATAAATTTTTATATATTTTGGTAACATCATAAGGTCTTCACTCCTATTGATATTTGAATTGATAATTTTGCAGATAAATACTACTTGGTTGATGCGGGCTATCCAAATATGAAATGTTATTTAGCTCTATATAAGGGAGAAAGATACCATCTTCCTGATTTTAGACGTGTGGTAGTCAACCTAGAGGCTCTCGAGAAGTTTTTAATCATGCACATTACTCACTACGAAGTGTTATTGAACGTTGCTTTTGGGTATGGAAATTGCGATGGAGAATATTACTCCATATGCCAAATTTTGATTTTGATAAGCAAGTAACTATTGTTACGGCTTCAATGGCACTGCATAACTTTATAAGAAGGAAGGCTATAGCTGATTTGAAATTTCAAAAATACAATGAGAAAGAAGATTATTTGATCGATGATGAAGACTCAAATATAAATTCAATTGTTGATGAGGGTGAAATGAGATTTATTCGTGATAGAATTGCTAGAGAGCTTATGCTTAGATGAACATTGTTTTTTATTGTTTCCAATCTAAAATTGTTGCATTTAAATTTATATTTTATGTAATTAATTATTATTGTTTTAATTTTTTTTATGTTGTTTTCTTGATTAATTGGTGCATTATTGAATTGTCAAAATAATAATCTCTTCATACAAATTCATTAGTAGTTGACAAATGCATTTCTAGCTTCCTTTCACAGTCTACTCCTTTTTGGTGTAAATAAAATTAATTTTTAGTAGATTTTAATAGAAAATGATAAATATGTAATTAAAAAATTGATAACAATTATGGATTACATAAAATATGTGATAAAAATTAATTGTTAAGTTACTGACTTCAATTTAAATTGTTGTTTTTATTTAATCTGACTATATAATTTATATCTATGCTTTACTAATAAAATTTTAATATGATAATTAAACTAATACATTATCACCATTAAGGGTAAAAATGACATTTTTAATACCATAATAGCTTTTGGCATGATCATACTGATAAGTGTGTTTTGCCCACTTATTTAATACTTAAATAAGCTTAAGTATTGATAAAATGAGCGAATTTCTATTCACAATTATATAATTATTGTTTTTGTAGGTAAAAATCATCTAAGAAAAGAGAACAAGTTAAAAGGAAGTGAAAAGGGACCAAAAGTGTACAAAATTGTAAAGTTGGGGACCAAAATGCATAAGTACCTAAACTTCAAGGACTTGGGCTTGCAATTTCTGGAGGGTGTAATTGAAAGAAGAGTCAAAATTCAAGGACCAAATTGGATAAAATCAAAGTTGAAGGACCTGACATGCAATCATTTGGGGACCAATGTGAAAAGAAGGAAAAAAAAGGCTAAGGCACGCACCTAAGCCTGCAGCTAAGGCTCACGCCTTAGCCTCAATTTTGGACAACTGAGAGCAACCAAAGGGTTAAGGTGCGCGCGCCTTAGGTTAAAAATCAAGACTTGTGAGCACATTTTAATTTTTTAGGGGCTTTTCTTGCAATTTGGTTGGAACGGTTTTTGCCTTTTTAAACATTTTTTTTTTACTCTTCCACTATTATTCCTCACCTTGAAGAAAACCCTATTTTTCTTCTTCTTCTCTTCTTCATTTTTCTTTTCTTTTTCCTTCGTAATTTCTTGGTGTATTTGGAACAAAATCTAGAGCACAAATGAGATTTAATAAAGGAGAAGAGAAATATATAGGAAAATCAAGTTCAAGCTTCGAAAAGGGTTTTATCTCTAAATATTGTATTTTCTTGATTATTTTGCCATATTTGCAATATATTATATGAATATTCTCCTTTGCTATCATATATATAAAATGAGCTAAATTATTGGTGTTGGGATTTATGGTTGTAGATTAACCTAGCATTGATTAATTTTTAATATTTGCTCTTTAATATTAAGTTGCTTATTTTCATGTGTTCCTACTATTGTATTTCATGCATTTTCATTTATGTGGTCAATAAATGAATGTGTTTAGTGATTTGTACATCGTTCGAGAGAAGATTGTGTATTTTAAATCAAATAGTAGAAATCCTAGGTTTGTGTAGGGGATAGAGATATATCCCTAACCCTAGGCAACCCATTAATCTATTTTCATAAATATTGAATGTGATTGTTTGGTTCTAATCGACATAGAGATATAGTAGGTTAAACTAGTCAGTTATGGTTAATTTCACTCAAGAGAGGTAATTAATTAAAATTGGATGATCGAGTCTAATATCGTAAATGAGTAATTCGTTAATTGGCTTGTCGAGAAATTAATTAGGTGACAGTTAAGTGAAACCTTGAATCCCAACCACATTTACCTCCAAAATTTTCAAGATTTTTATATTTTCTAGATTTTAGTTGTTTTTCCAAAATCTAAATATTTATTGTGTGTTTGTTTCTTTTATTGTTAAAATTAAATTAATTAAAGTTGTGTAATTTAAAGTAAACATTACTCGAGGGATCGACAATCCGAACTCAAAAAGTCCATTTTATTACTTAAATGCGATCCGTGCGCTTGCGGCATGCACTTTTAGTGAACACATACCAAACACAAGTAAAAGCTCTTTTGGAAGAAAAAGCTCTTTTAAAATTAGTTGCCAAACACTAACTCGAAAGCTTGGATTTCTGCTTCTCTTCTTCTACTAGGTAAAAGCATAACCAGAAGCTATCCCAAAATGGGCTTTTTATTCTAAGAGTAAATTGCCTATGTAGCTCATTCTTTTGCTAAAGTAGTGATCTTGTTCCTAACCATTTTTCTATTTTATTTTGTCCCAATCTTTAAGAGATTAAAAGTAATCCCTCATATTATAGAGAAGATTTTCAAAAAGTCAAATCTCTCTCTCTAAAATAATTAATAGTTAAATAAAAAAGAAAAACAAAATGAAAATTCATTTGAAAAAGACCAAAATGTCCTCATCTTCTTCGTTAGATGAATACAAACCTAGCCAAGAAACGATAACAACTTTTGTCAAATGTTATGAAATTTTTCTTCGCTACTCGGATGTGGTCAAACATGATAAAATATTGAAGGCAAGCAATTCAACAAGTAGCTTTCTCTCGTCTTGCTCTAGCTCATGAAAATTGAACGCCAAATGAAAATCTATAGAGTTAAATAGTCATTAAACTTATACTTTCATCATACTTTACTCACTAAAATGCTTTCGAGCAATCACTAAACTTAAACAGTTGCACTCCATCACCTACTAACCATGTTGGATAAGTCAATAAACTTTAAAATATTTTCAAGTGATCATTAAACTTTAACACTTTGCACTCCGTCACTCGCTCACCATGTTTCACTAGTCTCCTAAGTTATACCACCGTCATGTTTTACTTGTTGAATTTTAAAATGCTTTTGAGTGGTCATTGATTTTCATAATATTTTTTTATTAAAGTTGATTTTCTATGAAATTCGACTTAAACCAAGAAAATATAACTATTGACTAGATAATGAGATTCTCAATCTAGGATGAAAATATTGATATTGGCCAAAAAGAAATAATTTCTCTAGTTGTCAAAAGCTATGTTCAAGGACAAAAAAAGAATGCTAGTTTCAAATTGACATAAATCCTAATCCAAATCATAATTTTTCTTTACATCGAGAAAATAAAATAGAGAAATTATTCATTTATTTCGATTTAAATAGTAGACCCAAATCAAGAAAATAAAAAATTATATCTCAAATAGGCAGTGAAATTTTTGATTTAGAGTTAATATTATTAATCAAGACTAACAAAGTATAATTTTTAAAGTTGTCACAAGATAATTCAAGAGGAAAAGGGATCCGTCTTCGTGTATGTATTTTATATTTCAAAATTTTCAATTTCTGTACAGATGGATTTAGTGAGTATGTTCACTAAACACTAAAAAATATTTTAAAGTTCAGAGAATAAAGCATGACAAATATATAAGTTAAGTGACTGATGATATGATGAGTGAGTGATGGAGTGTAATATATTAAATTTTAGTGACCACTCGAATATATATATATATATATATATTTTTAATTCAGTAACTAATGAAACATGATAATTGAGTGATGGAGTACATGTTAAAGTTCGATAATCAGTCAAAAGCCATTTTATGTTCAATGAATAGAGCGTAACAAAATTATAAGTTTAGTGACTATTGAAACATTTAACTTAAATCTATACAAACCTCCGACCATCCATCTTGTCACCCTGCTACGACTTGCAGTTGGTTTTGCCACAACAAAGAGATGAATTGATTACTAAAAAAAAAAAAAAATACCTTGGCAAAGCATAATGTAATAACTCGAGTCTCGCGTCTGACTATTCTCTTACGTACTGTCATGTAATAGAAATTCATGAAGGGGTAAGATAACTCTTTCAAAACGGATAGGACGTAAGAGACCAACTATATATGAGACTTGAGTTGTTACATAAAACGACCCGAGCCTCATGCCCGATCATTCTTTTATGTACTTTCTTCATTTAGAGAGCTTGAATTCATCTTATCCTTCACGGATTTCTATTGTGTCTCCAAGATTTGAATCCGAGACCTCTACCTCATAAGAGATTTAAGTTGAATCCTAGTGCTAATGGGGTTAAAGCTATCCCAGAACATACCGTACATAAATTAACGATTTGGACATAAAAATAAGATCGTTACCAAAAATGCACCTTTTTTTTTTTTTTTTTTTTAATAACGATCCAAACTTTATGTCTAGACATTCTCTTACGTATTGTTCACTTTAGAAGGACATTTGCCTTCTTACCTCATTAAAATTTTCTATCGCGTCCTCCAAACTTTGAATTCAAGACCTCTACATAGGAGAGATGTAAACTTGGTACATGATTCAACTTAAGTCTTTCATTAGGCAAAGGACTTGGGTTTGAGTTTTGAGGAATCCATAGAAATTCTTGAGGGATAAAATGTGATCAAGCTATCTTAGAGTGGTAGCATGTAAGTTAATGGCTTGGGGGCAGAGATCGAATTGTTACACATATGATATACAAAACATGAAACTTAAAACAATCTTCAGCAATTCAAAGTCCAGCATAAAATTCAAATATTTAGCGAAAACCCAGATTCAAAATTATAAAGGGAAATTAGCACCGTTCCAAATTTTTAAAAATGTGTAGTGCGGTCCACAACTATTAAAGTGTAGCAACTATATCGTGTGCCAATAGGACTTCTAAGGGTTCGATCTAAAAATCTATGATTTAAACAAGCGTCAAACATTTGTCCTTGTTTTGACTAATTTTTAAAATGACAAAATGACATATAAATAAAACAAGGAGTTTTTGCATTGGAGGTCTTAAAACTTTAATAAAGTCAATCGGTCCTAAACATTTAAATTATAGTAGATACGTTCGAAATTAATAAATGTGCATTGGTAGGACTTCTATGGCTTTCTATTCCAAATTATGCCAGTTGGTCAAAACTGAAAATTTAATTTTCTTTGAAGGATCCAAAACCACCCACCATTACCAGAAACCACCAAACAAATTGAAACACCACTGCCAAATGAGCTACCCAATAACATACTTGTGAACATTTTCAAAGTAATATGTCATTGGACTTATCTAGCCTC